CCAGCTAGTGATCATAAGATATTCACATTTACTGACGACATTAAAGTTTTGTGAGTTGCTGGTTGTGAGTAGGATGCTGCTGCTGCTTTACAAAAGAACTTGAATTACTTAGTGATTTGGGTGAATAAATGGCAGATGGCTTTTTATGATAATAAATGTACAGTCATGCATGTGGGATATCACAATTTGAATTTATGAGTGTAATTTGGATGTGAATAATCTTAACAGTATTAAAGATGAAAGGAATCTTGGTGTTCTGGTTGGGTCAATCTCTTAAGCCATCCAAGCAATGTGCTGTTGCTAGTGGAAAAGCAAAGAAGATTGTAGGTTGTATTTACAGAAACATTAAATACAAGTGTAAGTAGTGGCTGGAGACGGCTTAAATGGGTAATGAAGAAAAACTTTAAAGTTTTTCTTCATTACCCATTTAAGCCGTCTCCAGCCATTATTAGTCTCAAAGTGGGTTCCTCGTCATCGAAAGTGTAAGTAGGTTATAATGTCATTGGTTAGGCCACAATTGGAATACTTTGTTCAATGAATTATTGGAAATGGTTCAGAGAAGGGCTATTAGAAAAATACATGTTATGAAAAGGTTGTCATAAAAAGATGGGTAAAATATCTGAACTTATTTTCTCTTGAAAAAAAAAAGGAAGGGATCTGATTGTGGTGTTTAAGATTGTTAAAGAATTTACAGTGTTGATGCATCATCTTTTTTTCGTACTTAATGGTGAGAATGGTAAATCTAGGAGACACAAATATAAATTTTGGCAGGGCAAGAGTCATTTTCAACTAAGACAGCTTTATTTTTCTAACAGGGTGGTTGGTCTTTGGAATGGGTTGCCTTCAGACGTGGTAAAGGTAGTTAATTTAACAGAGTGTAAAGGAAGGCTTGATAAATATTTGAATGCTAAGGGGTGGCACTGTGGTTTTTATTTATTTTAGGGTTACTTATTATCAACGAGATGGCTTAGAAAGATCAACAAGTCACTTCTTTTCTTTAAATGATATGTATAACATAATTCTTATATAACTTTAGATAAAATATGATGCTTATATAACTGTGGAACACAATACTTATGTAACAGGAAATGATTCTTACATGACTATGGATTATAATCTTTATATAACTGGAAGTGATCCTTTCATAACTGGCAAAAAACATTTTTTCATATCATTATTATATAGTTGAAAAAAACAAAATACAGTACCAAACCACAAACACTTTGCACA